TTTTTTTTTTTGCTTTTCCCCATTTTGGAAGAGAATGGACAGAACTATCGATACATTCTGTAAACTCCCCCGATGAATACATTTGTAGTGGAAAACTGCTGAAAAGTCCCCTCGGTATTACTGTAGTTCTGCACTATTGGCATTCATACGCTACAAATTGCTCAGTTCAGGCAACTACAAAGAACAGAATTCACAAAGAAGCCCAGCAGCCATTACCGATGTGAGCAATCGGCCCACAGTTGTGTGGTGTGCACTATTGTCTGGTTGCACTTGACGTCTGTACAAACAGATAATTGCGGGTTTCAGAGTTATCCCCCCTCAACTGTAAAACCACCTCAATGCCGCCCTCCAACGCGGTGTCAATAAAGGACGGGCGGTTATGGTGTGATGACGTCAGCTGACAGTACAGTCATTTGGCGGCTGGTCGGGGGATGGGTGCACCCTGCGCCACCGCCCTTGTATGCCATCCCCACGCTATATCCGCTAGTTGCGGAGGCGAAGGCGGAGGTTGGTGAGCAACCTCGATCGTCAACCGTTGGTGTGCCCCTCATCAGTCCCGTCCCGTCCGTCCCCCGTCCCCGTACGTGGTGTTCGCTGCCTCGCCCACTGTCAGCGACTCTACGCAATCGTCCGTCTGGGTCTGCATCCATTACGTACTGTCTCCGCCTACCGTCTATCGTGACGATCGATGCTGCGAAGAAGGCGCACAGTCGGACCATGCACCCCTTGATGACCAGCGTGTTGGCTCAACGCCAACTTAACGCTGCTGGTCAACTATTCACACTGTCCGACTATGACGTCATCACCGACTTGGTACGGTATTCGGTTGATCTACTCGTTTTTACGACCGATTTTTTGCAATTTTTGCACGGTTTCCACGTGATTGCAATGATTTTTTCAGTCGCCTCGGCATCAGAGGATTATTTTTGCATTTTTCCGGTTTTTCCTACTCTTCCTGCGAAGCCCAGTTGCCATTTTTCTTTTAGTTTTTTCGTTTTAATCAAAACGAGGCTCATCTGAGCTTGTCCCGAATTTGCTCTTTGTTATTTTGCCACTTCTATCTACTACCGTGTCTTTTTGATCTACTCATATCGTCTTAGGAACCCTGCATTCGATAACACCCAGATTTTCTTACGGCTCTAGTTGTCGAAGGTCTCACCAGAACAGACCCTTAAAAAGATCATTTTGTCATCAAAATTCGCCTCCAGACGTCCTGATAACCTTGCTGTTCAGAATTTTCCTCATCTTTTACCATCAGCCTCGTTCTGGGCAACTTTTTCGATCAATGATTGAATAGTTGTCGCCATTGATCAACGGGAACCTTATCAGCTGTTTCAGTCACCGATTTACTGATTTATGGGTTGATTATCGCGATTTTCTGGGTTATGATGGATACGATTACAAGGGGTAAGGTCGTGGCTCGGGTCTAACAGTTTTTGCCACATTTTTTACTTACTGTTTGGTTTCTGCTGTAGAAACGAAATTGCCTGTGCGTTTTGGTATGGCCCGGGTGTGATTACATTATGAGTCAACAGGAAATTGATCAATCGTCACATATCGAATAAAGTTATATAGCTAGCGAGAAATTGCAAAATTTAGAAAACTTGTTTCTTTATTGATTTCAGATTAGATGGTATAAATGTACTAACTGATAAGAATTTTATAAATTTTTATGATTTTTACCACTTTATTATTACCAAAAAGCGTGTTCAACTACGTCGATTGTGGGACTGTGCTCCCACCATTTGATCTCTGCTACTATTGACATCTTGGAAAACTTCTGATTTGCCACTCTGACCTCCCTTTGCTTCATCCCCTTGACATTCACTCCTAAAGTTCTTTTGAGTACGGTTTTTTTAGAAGTATTTCAGAGTTTCGGTTGAAGGTTATTTCAGAGTTCTTTTTTTGGTTTTTTTATTTAGTGAACACCGTGTTTAAAATTAAGTGATCATTCCATTTGCATGGGCACATCTAGTAGTAGCATGGAAAAACTACGCTTAGCTTAGGAAATATAGTTAGAGGACAGAGTGAGTGAGAGTTTGCCTCCTCTGTCTGCGCTCTCTTAGTAAGATAGTAACTTACTGGGCAATCCCTTCTTCACCTCAACATTCTGCAATAGGTCGGCATTTCACGTTTCTCGATGCTGCTTCACTCATTGCGATTAAGCCAAAAAGCCATCCCCTGCACCGAATCGTTTCGAGGCACCGTAAAGTCCATATCTGACTCTGGCCCTAGAAATCAGCCTCAGAGTGCCAACACATTAGACTAGCCCCTACGACTGCATTTCCACAGAGAAAGCGTCCTTATATCAACTTATGAGGTCATCAGTTTAGTTTTTCACCGAAGCCATTAAAAGTAAATTAATATTCAAGGTAACAGTGTTTTATATTTTACATTTTCTTTAATCTATATCATTTAAGGCTTTATCTCATATTTAAAATTTTCACAAACATATTTTCCATTGTTCATGCCATCTAGTGGATGCCCCGCCCATGTTGCTCTACGTTTCTACCAACTTTGCGGCACCACCTTCTATTCGGTGTTCAGGCAATCGTTATTTCGGCTTGATCTCTCGGGCTTGTTCCGCGGCTGAAGAAAATGGATCATGAATGAAATAATTCGCGTGACATCGTTCCATTTCCAATAATTTATGGGTATAACCAGCTGTCGGTCATAGCGTGTTCTATGAGTTATGAGCTGGAATGGTGAGACGATGAATGAATGATTGAATTGGTATTGGTATCTAATGATCGCATTTTCATAAAACATCAGCAGGACTGTTTGCCCGACAAGACCATCATTCTTACTTCAGAGGGAGCGCTATCGAAACCTCGATGTCACACAAGATATATTGGCATCGGTTGAAAGGCTTCCCAAAGTGGTTGATGACCACAACATGCCAAGGTCAAGTGGTTAAAGACACTTGGGCGGCCTTTTTGACATTTCGGCAAGTGAGACTTCAGAAAAAACGACTGTTCTCTGTTTTTCGAATAGCGGCATAATAAAGGCAATTCGTCTCAGTCAAACGGTGGCTTGATGGGAATTCACTGAGTGGGGATATGCTGGGAGTGGTCTCCTGGGAAAGGTTGAGGTTGAGTTGTGAAGATACCAATAATCGGGTCAGTTACCTTCATTTTCATGGTGAGATCAAGAGTTCAAAAAACTTGATCGCTCAAGTAACGATTGTTTGGTAGATGCAATTTCTTGGTAGGCGACTTCAGTCCTTTCAGGATGCGCCATGCATTTGGTTTCCAAGTTGTAATTGTAGAATTAGAATGCTATTTATTGCTATTTAAGATCACTTTTATTCACAGATTTGAGTAAATTCTTATTCTGAGTAATTTATTCCTAGTCGGTGGCCAATTTGGTGAGTGCGGTGTAATGGCAAGTGTCGCACTATTACAGAGGCATAGCCGGGATCGAATCCTGGATCGCTATCCGCTCAGATCAACCAAACTTTCCATCCCTTGGGGGCTGGTTGGTTTTAGACTGATACAGGAGAATAAAAGCGCTGACTTATACATTGAGCTTTTTGAAAATCGGAATTTAATCATTCCCATCACCTCGAACACTGGGTCGCCCTGTGCCATTGCCCGAGCGACATTTTCGCAATGTTCTGCAGGGGTTGATAATCGTACAGGTTCTGTCAGTAAGTCAATCAGCAGGTTGTTAGATTTGCAATTAGTGGTTGCGTAGAAGCCAAAAAAAGTGGTTTAGTACATTGGAGTGTTTACGACCTTACCGTAGTCTAGTTTTACTCGGCACTACTTTTTTTTCACCATTGCAAAGCCACCATTTCAAAGGAACCTGTTCTTCGCTATACAAACTAATAGCTCGTTTTTACAAGCTAATCTCAATGGATTGACTGCCTTGCTTTTCATTCTGATTGATGCCGTGAATTCCAAGAAGTAAAAGTAAACTTGGATGACATTTAGTGCTCATTTTCTTCTTCAACAATATCGTTTTTATTTTTATATTGTGTTTATTACCGTTGTTTTGCTTTTCCTCCTAAGTTTGATTTGGGGAGCTGGATAAGAGGGTTCAGCTTACAAGTTGCATTGAGCCCTTCGCTAACTAAATCTTTCATTCCTCCGAGTTGGGCTAAGGGGCAACATGTTTGTTTAGGGCGAGAAACCCGAGATTTGTTCATATGCCCCTTTGCATTGTTAAATTTCAATCCGTTTGAGAGGGCAATCAACTATTTCGACGCTCTAGAAGGCTGTCAGATCCGTGGCGCAACCTTCAAGACTTCCCGATTGGCCTACATTTCAAATTTCCAAGGAATTTTGCATGGCCCAACTCTATCTACCAGTTATTCTTTTTTGTCTACATTCTTACATTCGACTGAGGGCGATTTGGAAGTAGCCGTCTTCGATCCTCCGGAGATGCGCCATGCATTTGGTTTTTATTCATATTATCATACAGACAATGTCTACCCGGAAGCCTCTGCTGTTTAGTTAATGATTTCGAGAAAGTTTAAACATTTGTTTACTCAGATTCAGGTTTTAATCTAACTTCAACTGAACGTCCCATACTTCCTTGAGTTAAGTTGATATGGGGTTTTATAGTGGTCCATTTGGTCTTAAAAACTGTTGCGGTTATTCAATTTTCGCATATCAACTCATAGCGATACCGTCACTTATAGAAATGGAGGTTGTTCTGCCCAGTTAGGGATCGAAGTAGCGGTTGGTTGAGTCTGTTCAGACAGCAACAGGACACCTTTCCTCCACGTCACCGTCATCGTTATTCACTTGTCACTGTTTCGTAAGCGTAACGTAATGGCTGTTTCAATGGGCCCCCATTTATTTATACAACACACACACACGTACGCTACGGGAGGATGGATCCACTGTTTAAGCTGTAGTGTTTGTTTGCACAGTCCTCACCAGAACTACTTGCCGCCACGCGGTCACATTAAGGTTTCAAAGAATAATCTCTGCTATGGAAATGTTGGTTGGAAAGCCGAGTTAGTACTGCTTGAATCCTAGGAAAAGACGTCTCCGAACTTCTTCGTTATCGTTTAAGTACCTATTTTCCGCAGTCCCCCTCCCTACTCAACCACACGCCTTTTCGGGAGCTGTACACCTGAGCAAGGTAAGCGTATGTCGACGAATCGTCGACGGTAGCTGCATGGGCTGGGGCGGCTGTGGGGTGTCTATTTGCAACGCAGAAGGGACGGAATTGGGAGAAGAATGGGACTACCTCCATGAAGGATTAACTGGAACCAAGTTTCAAAGGGAATGGTGGCGTACTGGTAGGCAACACTGCTTGGACCTAGTTCTTGGAAATCCGCGCGATTCACCCTTCAAATTAAACTCTGACCAGTCGTCATCTATTCCTCGGCTCTTCTAGGGACCTAGGTCTTCCTGAATGATGATGGAACTGATTTTACTGTGAGTCTTACTAGAATTCAGTCTTATCATTGCCAGATGTTGTTATGGTTAGATACTCTTCGGATACCTTCACGTCTGCTGATGGAAATCGGTTACTTGGCGCATCTTGAAAGTGTACCACAAATTCACGCAAATCCCTATTAAGGGCATACTCAATACGTTGTATAAAAAAAACTAAGAACTCAGCTGTTACGGTCTACTACGGTATAGACCGCTCATTCGTGCCAGGACTGTCAATCACCATCTTATGACGTACGCGAAGAACTTCGTTACACTTTCCAATTCATCTTATTCAAATCGTAGTATGACAAACTCTTCCCGAAATGCAATTCACTGCATCACTGTCGATCAATACGCATCGTTTTCGTTACCACAAGAGCTCTGAAGGGATTCGGGAAAGGCTTGTGCAAACGAGCATAGCTTTCTGGGTTTGTCTGGGGACTGCTTTCTAGAATCGTTCATCAGGTCTTCATTTCAGGCTTTCTGGGATTGGGTTTGCGAAGAGCTTTTTGAATTAG